GGCTCATCCTACTGCAAACAAACACAGTCGTTTTTGAATGGATTAAAATACCACACTGTTCCATCCATGTCACCTCTGAGGCACGCCCAGTGTATTAGGGTTGAAAGAGAAATGATGTCAGAAAACTGCAGGAAATGTTTTCCAGAAGCTAAGGAGGAAAAAAGATAAGATTGCACAAATGACTCCTTATTCAACACAATCCTGTTTACTGGTAAAATAAATTGGTGCTTTGCTAGCACGTGCCATGGTTTCTCCTTAGAAAAGTGTAGCAGTCACTGTGAACAACACTTCCCTGCTCCTGGAAAACTGTTTTGAGACATTTGGTGGAATGCAGGGCATAAATTTCTTGAATAAATACACACTTTCCCAGTCCAGCCAACAGCTTACCACGTCCCAGCAGTAGCACTTTAAAACTAAGCCTAGAGGGAGATTAGTTCCAGACTGTTGGTGACAGGTAGCCACCATTTTGAGTCCCTCGAAATGTAATGCCTAATGTGACATTAACATCACATTGGACATTACATTTTGAGGTTCTAAAATGGTGACCACCTGTCATCAATGATTGGCTTATTATTATTTTTTAAGCAGTTCACCTAAGTAATGGGCAATTGAAGATGAATGTACTTATACATATATTGGTTTCTCTCTGCCACATTTTGGGGGGATATTGTAACTGGATAATTCTAGACACTTTGGAGTTATAAAATACCCCAATTTTAAACATATTTGTTTATGGCGGCAGGATTATCTGCCTTCAGTAGAACTCAGGTTGAGATAAATGTGGTAAGGAAAATAGCCCCCGTCCACCCCAGAAGAATTAGAAGTAAATTCTTCTCTTGCACCATAAAACTGCTGTTTTAAAACTGTAAACATATGCAGTTCTATTTGTTTCTGGTTTCTAACCCATTCTGCATTTCAATTTTATACTTAATTGTAGAATATAAAGTGGACATTCTGTTTTCTCAGTTGCCAAATCATAGATAGGAGAAGGTTCCAGTGCATATTATTTATTAATGAGATCTAATTCAACATTTATCTTTTTCCCCTGATGCTTCTGTCATGGGTTATGAGGCCTTGTGAGTTGCCTGACCTTAGACAGGAAAGTTCCCATAGTTGGAAAAACCGCCACTTTTATGCTGATAGTGATCCCCTTTAAACAAAAAAACAAAACAAAACAAAAACCATGTATACAAAAACCTTGCCACCCAGCTTGTGAATTAGCCTTTTTTTTCTGGAGTAAGATTGGTTGGTGTTGCACTCTAATAGGGTCAGTAGCTTAACCAAACTTTTGTCACTTCAAAATGATATTCAGAAATAGTCTACAATGTGAAACTAATTCCTTGTTTCATTTAAATGGAATGAAAACTGGTGGCCATTTTTAAAACACGGTACCTTAAATTACTCAAATTATTAAGGCTTCCAAAAGGAACATATTGTTAATGTTAAAGCTAAGCCAATTTATCCATTTTTAGCTTGGTTAAACCTCAAATGCGTTTGCTTATAAGAGCACCGAACTGACTGAGAATAGATTCCTATTTAGCTAGGGCCACAATCCTGGTGCACTTTAGTTTGCTGAACAATCAGCCCTACAAGTCTTCAAATGCAAGCAAATAAACAAAAAGCCTTGTCATCAGTGCTGTCAAGGGTACATTGTGCCTAATGCCACAGCGGTTAAATTCACTGGGAACTTGAAAACCTAATAGATCAAGGCCATTGTGAACAAATTAGCAAATTACACTGCTTTGATTGTCTCCTGCACTACATTGTCTTTCCTAAAGAAGCCAAGCCAAGCTCTGCATATTTGGTAGTGCTTACAAACTGGATTGTCATTAGAGGCTAAGGCTCAAGTGTAGGATTGATTCTTCTCCAAATCTTGTGTATTTATAGTTGTAATGAAAATGTCAAGAAGGATAAGAAACAAGAGGCAGGCCCATTTTGCATACAGATTAATTCTTAGGTACTTAATCAGAGCACCAATTTACGGTGTAGTGCAAGGAGGAGGCTTTCTTGTTGAATATTGCTGTTCACATAGTGGACTATTAATCTGCTGTCATGTGTTTTCCTTGGGGGAATGAGGTTCCTTCCTGAGGAGGTCTGCAAGGTCATGTAAATACAAGGAGTTGGGAAGCTCTCAACTTGACTGCCAATCTCTTTAAAGAAACGGAAAGGAGAAAACTTTAAGGAAACCCAGTTGCGACTCAGAACTGTGTTCCCTGTTTTATTATGTACTGTCAATATGTAATGTCTTGAGAATTTAAATTTACTTCATTTTACTGCCAAACTCTTATGTCTAAAAACTGCCTAAGTGCCAAATATCTTCATCCTTCAAACATGAGCCAAAAGGACCATTTTCAGTGTACTATTAGTGTCCCAGATGTGAGGCAGCCCAGGGGGGTCATCTGCATTTGAGCATTACTTCACTGCAAACATGCTCCTTATACCTTTGATATTGGTTCAGTTTGTCCACACAGTTGCCACACTTTGGCTCCACCCCAGCTTCAAGTATGGTGTTTTCCATCCATACCAGTCGGCGTTTTTCTGTGTAAGATCAAACCTCTTATTTGCTTTCATTCCTGCCTTAGATATTCGCACTCCCTCAATCTGTGGACCGACTACACATGGGCAACCTGCACAGTAGATCATTTTTCACACCTGGTGCTGCCTATTCTGCCACCCACCATTTAAAAATAAAATTAATGTGTAATTGCTGGACTATTAGTTCCTCTCAGCAATACAGTCATACCGCGGGTTAAAGTAGCTTCATGTTGAGCGTTTTCAGGTTGCGTTCCGTGGCAACCCAGAAGTAACGGAACGGGTTACTTCAGGGTTTCGCCCCTTGCACATGCGCAGATGCTCAAAATGAGGTCGTGCACAGAAGCGGCGAATCGCAACTCGTGCACGCGCAGATGCGGGTTGTGTTCTGCTCAGGATGTGAACGGGGCTCTGGAACGGATCCTGTTCACATCCAGAGGTACCACTGTATAGCCATAGATTTTAGAGCTAGCAAATATACCTTCTGCGCTGTGAAGCTGGTGGTAGAACAAGGCTTCCCTTGGTTGTACACACAATCAATGACATTCTTCCCTGTGTGTTTGTTTGTTTTTTAAATACCAGATGTGTGGGCTTGCAAATCTATATGTTACATCTGTGCACAAATCTGAGGGTGTCCAAAGGAAAATAAATACCAGTGCTGGGCTTCCACTAGGAGCACATCGGAAGTAGTTAGGAACATTGCCAGAATAAAAAGGGAAGTCAGGGATGAAGTAGTAGATGTGGAAATAGGCAAAGCAACTGAACCACCCACCTGAAAACTCTGGAACAAATAGTATGAAAATCCCACCGGAGTAATGTAGAGCCGATTTTTTCCCAAATCGAAGCGCATTATCTGTGTTTCAGGTAGACCCCAATTTTCAAGGGGGTGGGGGACTGTGTTAGGTATTGTTTGAGGGTAGAATCATGCAGAATAAACAAATTTAATGAGAATGCAAACAGATGCTAACACATAGTAAAACGCTGGTATGGATGAGCCCAAAGTCACTACAAAGCCAATCGTTCTCCCTGGGGCGTTGTCCACAACACTTGCTGGTCTCTCTTCAGTTTCAGATTTCCCCAAACATACTTGAGCATCACCTGGAAACAGTTACTAGCTTTGTTGTTTTGAATAAGCGTTTAGTAGTTGGAGATAGTTGTTTATTTTGTAAGAGACTAGGTAAACTAGAATCTAGAGACGTTTAATTTTTTTAAATTTTATTTTTTAATGTTGCCTGATGTTCTTCTGACTTAGTACATGGGGAAAAAGCTGCCTGGATGTTCTTAGTAGAACCGCTCTTTTACTGTAGGAACTTGATATTTCTGGATCTTGTACCCTTTCTGCAAGAAATCAATAGAGTTATTTAAATTCCTTTCTCTTTCACAATTTTTCCACGAAATGGCAGAAAGGAAATGGGATGGAAGCATTAAAAATCAATATCTGCACATAACTAAAGTGGTTATGCAGCTAAAATTGGTATACTGTATTTCAAATAAGTGAATACAGTCAAATATAATAAATAGTAAACGTTACAAAATAGATTGCATAGTTTCCCTTACATCTTATGCATCTTGAAATTATATACACTGGAGATTTTCCTCTCTCTTGTTGATGGTGCACTTATTATCACCAGCTGCTGCTGCGAGTGGTAGAGTTTGGCTTAATTATAACAGGACAAGGAAGTAATCAAAACCTTCTGGAAAAAGAACTCTATATTATTATTATTATCCGATCTGTCAAGCATTATGTGAAATAGTTAGCCACAATGAGACCTGTCCGCGAAACACACAGAGAGATGTCTCTATGGTGTGTTTATATGATACCTGTCCAGTTTAACCTAGGCAACCTGCCAGTCTGATGCTGCGATGTGTGTTGCCAGAGATGTGGGGGGTGAGGTATCTCTGTGTAAGTGTGCAGATGTGCTCAGAGCAGCCCTCCCTGCTGTTCCATTCAGTTCAGTTAGCAGAGCTTAACAAGGTCAGGATGTGAATGATGTCAGACTGTGTTACATCTTTTATATCTTGAAGATACACTCAAGGCCAACACCTTAAGTTGCTTCCATGAATTCCCCATGATAGCAGCACCGAGAGTCCCAAAACAGAAAGCCTGTGTCCCAAGAGTAAATTTTACCTCCCCAACATGCAGCCTCTCTTCCTAAGCGGGGGCGTAATATGCAAGAACAAACTTTTAATTTTGTACTTCCCTCATCTACAAAAATCAACCTTGTGGAAGCAACCCAAGATCAGTTTGAAGATCCTTTTCTCTTTCATCCATTTTACTGAGATGTTACAAAGCAAAGATCCGTCCCTGTGTTTTTCTTCTTATTTCCTCTTCCCATCAGATAGAAATGAGCAAAGCATATTCACACTTAGGCTAATAACAAAAATAATATATTTCCCCTTGTTTCTGACGGTGACATAGGAGGAGATTCTTTCCTTTTACGCCACGCCAAAGCTGTTTCCATGGGCTAGGATGTGAGGGTGATCTGGCTGCGACATCTGTCACCCCATTGATTGTCAGGGTTGATTCGGCTGATCTGGCTGGCTAGGCGGGTGTCCCCTTCCTCCCTCACCGCTCCATGTGCGTCCCTCCCAAAGCTGCGCGCTCGGTGGAAGAGGACGACCATCCCAGATAGAAGGAGTGTACCGTTCTTCTGTCAAGGGTATACAATAGCTGCACTCCCCTGCTAGAACCTCCAAACAAGCTCAAAGCTGTTTCCATGGGCTAATGATGTTTTCAGCATGGCCATTCTATGTACATGTGAGAGAACTCAGGACTCTTGCTGATTGGTTGTTTCCTCGCTGTCCTTGGAATACAGCATAAAAATGGAAGGTTTTTAACTTGCTTTTGTCTTCATCCTTGTTGCCCTAGGGAAATACTGCTTAATCTTACCCAGGGATGCACTCATGCCATTAGTTCACCGAAGGATGCTTTGTTTCGATATATAAGTTGCTACAACTAATTTTAGGATCTATATAAAGTATAAGAGCTAGATGGAGAATATTGGCTGAATTTAATTTTTAATGCAACGTACCTAAATCAGTGCCTAGGACTTGCCAATCGCATGGTCGGCGGTTCGAATCCCCATGGCGGGGTGAGCTCCCGTCTTTCGGTCCCAGCTCCTGCCCACCTAGCAGTTCGAAAGCACCCTTAAGTGCAAGTAGATAAATAGGTACTGCTTTCTAGCCGGAAGGTAAACGGCGTTTCCGTGTGCTGCGCTGGTGCAGGCTCGCCAGAGCAGCTTTGTCATGCTGGCCACATGACCCGGAAGTGTCTCCGGACAGCGCTGGCCCCCGGCCTCTTAAGTGAGATGGGCGCACAACCCTAGAGTCAGACACGACTGTCCCGTACGGGCAGGGGTACCTTTACCTTTACCTTTACCTTTACCTAAATCAGAAGCCTGAAGATGACAAAGTACTCTGCCTAGCCACAGGATCATCTCGCACATAATGCTTTACCAACTTGGTAAATAAACGAAATAATAGCTAGCTGAAGACCAGCAGGTTTGAGAAGGGTTATTTCTCTTCTCACATGAAGTTCTGTAGCTCTGAAGTGCCTCTGACTTCAAAGCAAAAAGAGATAATGGAGGTAGCGGTGATGATTTACAGAGATTCTTCTTCCCTAAGGGCTCTTCTCTGTTCCTTACAGGATGTATTTAGAGACTTTCCCCCAACAACCCACTATTTACCGGTATATACTGAGAACTCACTTCGGTTGGAACTTTTAGAGATTTGGTGGGGTGATGGTGGTGAAATAAAACACTGACTGAGTCTCTTTCAGAAACAATTTCCCACAAGTAGATTCTTAAAATTTCCATTAACCTAATACCTGTTGCCCTATATCAATTCAGTCAACAGTGCAAGCCTATGTAGCAGCTTGTCCTCACCAGAATTTACTGTGTGTTTGCAGCTGTTTGCATTCCCATTTAATTTACATGTCAGCCACATGACACTACCTTCAAACAACACCAGTCTTGATGCTTCCCCCCATAAATTCATGTTTACCCAATATAGGAATAATTCAATAAGTTGGGAATAATAATAATCATCATCATCATCATCCTCAGATTTGCACAAAACCAGAAAAATGCACAAATGGTGTGCTTTTACACACTTCCTGGGCTGCAATTTTTAATTTTTTTTTTAACAAGGTGCACAGGTAACTTACCTTTCAATATAACAGAATTAACAAATCAGAAGGCAGGGACAGACACAAAATGGACAGCCTCTTGGTATAAATGGGAAAGACAGAAGTAGCTCCTCATTTACAAATTCAAATGTGCGCAGGTATAGACTATTCTGGTCTAATTTGAATTGGGGGGGGGTAAAATTAACATCTAAATAATCCTCAAATGTGGACAAGCCACTTGTCTACTCAGAAGTAGGCCCTTTAGGGTTCAGTAAGTCATACACCCAGGTAAGTGGCTATAGAATTGCAGCCTTTCCGTATCTTTCTTTCAAGATAGAGTGGGTCCAGATAGATGTCCTCAGGAAGCACACATTCCTATTCTGAGCAGGATTGGAAGAAATATTAGCAATAGCATTTGGCCTCAAGCTAAACTTTTGTTTCCAGCATTGTATCAGCAGTCTGAGGCCTCTTGAATTCAGCCTGCCAGAAGGGGAAGCAAAAACAGAGAAAGGAGGAGGGTGAGTTTATAGGTCAGTCATGGATTTTGTGTAATTCATTTGTTTCTTTTTCTTTTGTAGCTTTATGAACTCAAATCTGGCTGAGATTTGGGAGGAAAACATGAATTTATCATAGTTTTTTTCTTCCAAATGACATGTTTGTGCTGGCAATTCTACAGGAAGCATAAAAGCAAATCATCCAGCCGAACTGCTTAGCACAAAAAGCTCTGCTCATGCCAGTTGGGCTTCCATGTTTAGCACCTAAGGATTTTCTAGCATAATTTAAGGCTGGGAAGTGTCCTCATTCTTCAGCACCATAAAACATTAATGAATAAAGGTCTGCCTTTCTTTCATAGAACACCTATGTTTGGTGGTGGTGGTTGTTTTTAACACAATAGCTCTTCTTCGACAGCATGTCCTCTTTCTCTGTCCTTCATCCAAGAATTCTGAGACGGGTGTAGGTGTAATGAGACATCGTTAGAATGGTTAACGCGAATGAGAAAATTGTCCTTCAGTTCAGTAACTACAGTCCAAGCAAGTTTCTACCATGGCAGAAATAACTGGGAGAGAGCAAGAAAGAGGAAAATTCAAATAATCATTTTCTAGGAAGGCATGTTAGGCCATTCAGGACAATGAGGTGGTAGAGTTCTGATGGTAGACGGTGCTGGTAGAAGGTGGCATTTTTAAATTCTTACTTGTGTAAAAATATACCTGCAATAGAAAACTAGCACATTTGGGGGAAATGATCAGCTCAAGGTTGTGTTACGAGTTCCAACTCTACAATTATACCATTCTATAATTTCCACTTTTGGGGAGTTTTTATGTAAGGGCATATTAAAAAGTTGGGATACACAACCATCCATCCACCGACCTGAAAAGGTTTAGTTAGCGCTATATGCAAGATCTCAGATAAATATTGAAAATACATTTCCTTTTGTCTCCCCAAATATCTTTTGGGGGCTAGGAACAGGGGGAAACAAGTGCCATTCTGTCGCAACATATTTTCCTAATTGTGTTTTGTTTTGCTTTTCCATGGTAGAGCATTCAAAAACAGCTGTTTTCTACTGCAGCCTCAAATGGTACATTCTACTAGAGGACCTTTTTTCTATCACCATATTCTGCTGAGGGTGTAGATGGCTGTCCCATCTTTATACACCAAATACGTCGATTTCAGATCCTCCAAGCATCCATATTTTCCAGGGACAGCCCTGGATTTTCAGAAGCCATCCCTATTATGATTTGATCCTGGAATGTCCTGTTTTTCCTTAGAACTTACCTATTTTCATGGGAGAAATGTTGGAAGATATGAAATTTTGTTATATTGTAATGGGGAGATTCAGCACGACCCAACATTGCTCTGTTACTTGGAATAGCGGTAGTTTTACAGGTTGATCACAGATACCTAGTTTGTTTGCCAACAACTGTTCCTAAACTTTTCTCTTTGATACTGAGACTTGGCAAGGAGAACCAGAAGGAAATATTTCAATTCTATATATAAGAGCTCAGGGTGAACTTCTGTTCTGATCCTGCTGTTTGTTACTATTTTTGTTTTGGAACTTAGCTGTGTCTCATATATATATCTGAATAAAGGACACCCTAAAATTGTCTTCATTCTTCAAACCATTATTGTGCTTGGGTTTGTGATGAAGTTGATTTGGTTTTGACAGTAAGAAAAAAGATACAAAGCAATGTTAATTTCTGAAAGAAGAAAAGCCTCGCAGCTCCTTCCCCCTTGACTAATCAAAGGTGTGTGTTCTATTTTCTGGGCAGTTCTCTTTCTAGCATTGCTTGATTTGATTTGATTTCTTCTATTTATATGCCGCTTTGCATTCAAATGAATCCCAAAGCGACTTACAAACAATAAATAACAATAATAGAACGTCACAAATTACAGCATAAGTCATGTGAAATAATTAACAAACCATTAATAAAACAATTACAATCTGTAAAACCACTATTAGGCTCAAATAAGCTAAACATCACAATTACAGTAAAATTACAGTAAAATACAATTAACAAATCAGTATGGCATTTATACCTGAAGGAGCGTCTCCACCCCCATCATTCAGCCCAAACACTGAGATCCAGCGCCGAGGGCCTTCTGGCGGTTCCCTCATTGCGAGGTTATAGGGAACCAAACAGAGGGCCTTCTCGGTAGTGGCACCCATCCTGTGGAACACCTTCCTTTTGGATGTGAAGGAAATAAGCAGCTATCCTATCTTTAAAAGACATCTGAAGGCAGCCCTGTTCAGGGACGTTTTTAATATTTAATGCTGTATTGTTTTTAACACTTGATTGGGAGCTGCCCAGAGTGGCTGGGGAAACTCAGCCAGATGGGTGGGGTATAAATAATAAATTATTATTATTATTATTATTATTATTATTATTATTAAGCAATATTAACAACAGAATAGCAACTAAAAAATAAGCTGAGCACTGTTAAGGTCATACACGCACACACCCTGTAACTCATAATCTTGCAGTCTATTTAGTTCATTAAAATACACATAATGCATGTTGTTAAGCCAGTTTAGCCAGATGTTGTGACAGCTGAGGTCCCTGAGTAGTGAGTGGGCCATGGTGTAGACAGTGGGGTAGAGGGACGTGGGTGGCACTGCAGTCTAAACCACTGAGCCTCTTGGGCTTGCCGATTGGAAGGTCAGCTGTTCGAATTCCCACGATGGGGTGAGCTCCCATTGCTCGGTCGCTGCTCCTGCCAACCTAGCAGCTCGAAAGCATGTCAAGTGCAAGTAAATACAGTGGTGCCCCGCAAGACGAATGCCTCGCAAGACGGAAAACCCGCTAGACGAAAGGGTTTTCCGTTTTCAATGCGCTTCGCAGGACGAATTTCCCTATGGGCTTGCTTCGCAAGACGAAAATGTCTTGCGAGTCTTGAGATTTTTTTCGCTCCCCCCCCTTTTTCTAAGCCGCTAAGCCTTTAATAGCCTTTTAGCAGCTAATCCGCTAATCCGCTAAGCCTTTAATAGCCGCTAAACTGCTAATAGCGCTAATCCGCTAAGCCGCTAATAGGGTTGCTTCGCAAGACGAAAAAACCGCTAGACGAAGATACTCGCGGAACGGATTAATTTCGTCTTGTGAGGCACCACTGTAGTTACCGCTGCAGCGGGAAGGTAAACGGTGTTTCTAGGCGCTCTGGCTTCCGTCATGGTGTTCC